CAATTGACAACCTTCACAGTGAATTCCAGGCCATTCAAGACTACATATTGAGATCCTTTATCAAAACAAACAAACAAAAATATTAAAGGCTGGTGGCTGGTGAAATAGCTCAGCAGGTAAAGGCACACCTACCACCAAGCCTAATGACTTGAGTTGCAGCCCTACATGGTGGAAGCAAAGAAATGACTCCCACAGGTTTTTCTCTGATCTCCAGACATGTGCTATGGCATGTGCACACCCACATATGCACACTCTGCACATACAAAATAAACAAAAATTAATAAAATTGAAAAATACTAAAGAACTAAACAAGGAGGAAATAAGTTATCTGGATTTAAAAATAAAACAATAAAACAAACAAACAAACAAAGAAACAAACAGAAAAGACTGAGTAAATTTTCAAAACTGTGACCCTTAATAGGATTCTTATGCTCCATTGGGCAGCTCTATCTTCATCCACATATTGGATGTACTAATTGGACTCAGTGAGTTAGAAAAAGAGATGCACTCCTTTGACCTCAGAACTTGGGAGGCAGAAGCAAGCATATCTCTGTGAGGTCAAAGACAGCCTTGTCTACCAAGTGAGTTCTAGGTGAGCCAGGACTACACAGAGAAACCCTGTCTCAGAAAAACAAAACAAAACAAAACAAAAGGCTGGAGAGCTGGCTCAGTCTTTAAAGGCTAGTCTCAGAACCATAAATAAAAGAAAAATAAAAAGTAAAAAATAGAGAAGGAGGAGGGGGAGGAGAAGAAGACAGGAAGTTGGGAGGGAAATGTAGTGCAGAGAGTTTTTGAGGAGTTGGAAGGGAGAGTAGTAGGTAAATTTGAGCAGAATATACTACATATCTAAAGTTCACAAATAGTAAATACAAGTACATACATTTAATTTGTTTATTAGAATGTGTATGGGCATTTTGTCTGCATTTTTGTCTGTGCATTATTGTTCATATTGTTCATGTCTTGTGGCTGTGGAAGACAGGAAAATGCAGTATTCCCTTCTGGATAAGAAGTAGGAGCTGGAGAGATGGCTCAGTGATTAAGAGCATTGGATGTTCTTGTAGAAGACCCAGGTTCAATCCCCAGCATCTACTTGGTGGTTCACAAGGGTCTGTAAATCTGTAAATCCAGTTCCAGGTTATCAGATGCTCTCTTCTGGACTCTGAAGACATCTGACATGCAGGTGTTGCCCATATAAACAGGCTGGTAGGCAAGCTCCAAAACAAACAAACTCCCCTTTTTATGTAGTTCATGTTTTCCTTTAAATACTTTTGAGATTATTATTATTGTTATTATTATTATTTTATATGTATGGGTATTCTTTATGCATCTCTGGCCATCATGGGCATTCAGTGCTCATGGAGGCCAGAAGAAGGCATTAGATTCCCTGTAATTGGAATTACAGAGCTGGGAATTGAACCTGGATCCAGTGCTCTGAACCACTAAGCCAACTCTCCACACCCATCAAAGGAAGGAAAGGGGGAAGGAGAGAGGAAAGGAAATAATGATAGGAGAGAGTGAGAGAGAGTGTGTGTTTGTGTCTGTGTGAGAGGCAGTCAAAAGAATATCAGAGATTTTTAAAAGCTTTTTCTGCCAAGGTGGTCAAATGTTTGAAAAGAGTAAGAAAATACCTTTTCTAAGACTTTGTCACCAAGACTGATGGCCTGATTTTGACCTCTGGAATTCACATTGTAGAAGAAAAGAACAGACTCCCCCCACTTCACTGCCATGTCATGGCATGGGTTTGTGTTTATATGCGCACGTGCACACACACACACACACACACACACACACACACACACACACAGAGAGAACTATGGGGGATTGAATAAACAAATAAGTAAATATAAAAAAAGAAAACGTTTTCTTTTTCTCACTGTATATGTGCGTAAAGAGAATTTCCCTGGAATTTCTAACCCTAAGTAGGATATGAAAACATGTGTAAATGTTCTTGAAAATAAAGATATGTTATACTGATGAGAAAACCAGTTCAGACAATGAAATGGGAAGAACATTCAGGGGAAATGATAAAATTAGGAGAGTTAGTTCATTTTGAAGTAGACTCTCAAGTAAGTACAAGAACTCTTTAATAGGAGTGATAAAATGGAATTTGGAGGTAGAGTCTTTGGATGGGAGGTTTCCTCTAGTTCTTATCCTAGGCCAACTTTGTAAATAGTATTTTGCAAAGATTATTGAGATTCTTCTCTACCAAGCTCTACTTCATGGGGGAGATCTTTAATTTTGATGCTTTTAAAAGTTCAGTCTGTTCCCTAAAGGAAATATGTTGTACCCCATAATTCTACCACTGTATGGTAAGATCACTGAAACTGTCTTAGTACACACCTGTATTGGTCCAACAGTCCAGGGTAGGAAACTAAAATGAGTAGTTTGCGGAATGTTATGCTCATGATTATTGCCACATAGCAAATAAACTGTGTCATTGTGTATGGGTGGAGATTAAAGGACAAGTTTTAGGAATCAGTCTTCCTTTTCTCTTGTTGGTTCCAGTAGCAAACTCAAAAAGTGGTGAGGCTTTTTACCAGCTGCGCCATATCACTATAAAGAATTTATTTCTAAGAAATTACTAGAGATGTAGATAAACATTTTGATATGTAATATGGCATTATTACAATACAGACTAATTGAAAGCAGGCAATATGTTCAATAATAGAAAATTGCTGTTTTAGTTAGCTTTCTTTTGTTGTAATAAAGATTATGACCAAAAGCCACTTATGGAGGAACAGGTTTATTTAGTTTTTTTTAATTTTTATTCTTCATAATTTATTCATTATATATCTCAGTTGAAGCCCTTTCCCTCAATTCCCCAATCCCAACTCTCTCCCTCTTCCCCATCTCCTTTCCTTAGTCCACTGAAAATGGGAGTTCTCCTCCTCTGCCATCTGCCCATAGCTTGTTCAGTCTCATTAGGATTGCCTGGATCTTCTTCCTCCATGGTCTGGTAAGACTGGATCATCAGGGAGGAGTGATTAGAGAGCAGTCAACTGAGTTCATGAATGAGGCAGCCCCTGCTCCCCTCCCTCTGAAATCCACATCGAGACTGAGCTGCCAATTGGCCACATCTGAGCAGGGGGTCAAGGTCCTCTCCATGAATGGTCCTCCATTGGCCCATCAGTCTCTGCAGGATCTCTTGGGCTCAGATCTTTTAGTTTTGTTGGTCTCTTTGTGGGGCTCCTGTCCCCTCCATGTTGCTCTATTCCTGTCCTTCTTATTATGGTGTCTTTGCTGGCTTAGAACTCCTAAACCTAAGTAATCTTCTTGAGTAACAGGGACTTTGGGCACATGTTTTTTAAGTTTTCTGAACACAGTATGGGTTTATTTTTAAGATTAAAAATGCACTGACATTTGGCTGTCATGGTTTTCTATGGGGATGAATTTCGTGTGCTATTTGAAAACTCACTGACCCAACCCAGCTTATTCAGACTGATTGTAACCTTTCTAGCCAAATCATAAAAGCAAGTGATCTAGGAAAATTTCTCTATAGAAAAATTAAGCAAATATGACCATTTTAGAATGACCATTTCAGAATACTCATCCCAAGGATAGCTAAAAGTAGTGAGGAACAAGCCTAAAATTTAATAATATTCATTACTTTTACCTTAGAAATGTGGGTAACAGTTTCTCCTTAAAAATGTATCAGAATTTTTATCATTAAGAATCAGCAATTTTATTTATAAATCAAGTTATTGGTGCATATTCACTAAGACGAATATATGATCTATTACACAAGTGTGTATATGTGTGTGTGTGTGTGTGTGTGTGTGTGTGTGTGTGTGTGTAATGCTAGATACAACTTTTGGTCTTTCTGTGATCTATAAAACTACAAGTCCAGCCCCATTTCTTTAACGTATAGATAATGCCCACCAGATTCTCTGCTAATGCCAATAATTGATTGTGTTAATCAATGAATGCAATAATGATAATTGATTGCATTCAATTGTTTATGTACTAAATATATATATTTTGTTCTTCCTGTTTTATTGTTCATAAATTTTTTTTTTCATTATTTTAAGAGTCTACAGGTCCAAACAGTTAATGTAAAACTCCAAAAGGAGAGTTTGTACAGTGATGATGTAAAATAAAATATTTTTCCAAAACCATGCTTTGATTATTATTTATGATTATAAAGATTTGCCTTGTTATGTGTATTGGGAAGTAAAAATAACAGTAGCCATGATGTTAGTAATGAAGGATGGGGGGTAGATTATTCTAGTTTACAATACTTGATAATTTGCAGAAAATCTTTTTTGTTTGTTTGGTTTTGTTTTTTAATAGTCTCATTTTGTAGCTTCTAATACCTGGCAATTATGTCTCACTATTCCAAACGCAGAGATTACAAGTATGACACACAATGGCACAAAGTACTTTCAAAGTACTTTCAGATGCTTTTTTTCATCTCTGCAATTTCCTCCTTCATTCTAAAGTTGTTCCTGCAAATTTCCACGGAAGGATTGTTCCCTAGTTTAACAAAACTCTGAACAAAAATAAAACCTCTTGTGCTCTTTCTGGTTTCGGGACACTTGAAACTTCTCTCTAGCCTTCATCGCGCAGCATTTCATCATACAATCAATTCCTGCAGCCAACAAAGGTTAAAAAAATCACTCTCTTCATTCTTGGCGTCTTAAAGTATACAAGGCTTTGATAACGTGGGTTTAAAAAAATTAAACTAGTGTCTGGATTCAACACAAAGCTAGCTTTCAGCTATCTTATTTGCATACATTTCTGAGCAGGAAGTAACACGCAAAACTTACGGAGTTCAAGGGGAAAGGGTCCTTTATTCTAGTCGAGTACAATTCAGGGATCCTTTCCTCCCGTCTTTCTTTTATTTTTCCCTCGCCCCCTTCCCCGAGAGGCAGTAGTCAAAAAGAATTCTTTCAACAGATCTCGCGGTGCTGTTCGAGATCCTCTGTTTAAAAAAAAAAAAAAAAAAAAAAAAAAAAAAAACAATTTAGAAATGATGCAAATGAGCCAGAGCCTTCCGGCTTTTGGGGCTGGAAGCTCATTGAAAGCAGCCACTGGTGGAGGCGGGGCTCCGGCCAGTTCCCCTTCCACCTCCCCCAACCCTCCTCTTCCAACCTGTTTGGCCCCTTGCTCTGTTCCAGCCATTGCTGCAGCTGTTTCCCAGCCCTTTTCAAGACTCCAGCGACCGACCACAAGCCCTGGTTTCCAGGATGGTGATCCGTGTATATATTGCATCTTCTTCAGGCTCTACAGCGGTAAGGAGAGTGGGAGCCCACCTTTGTTGTTTTCCAACAGAACAGTCCTCCTCTGCCCCAGAACCGTTAAATTGCAGAAGTTACACGGGAAGCTTCTCCTAAGAAGAACCAAGCATCGCCCTCCATAGCCCCCTTTCTTTCCTTTCTTCCTTTGTTGCGTCGATTTCTTTCTTTCTTTTTTTTTTTTTTTTTGAGGAGTTAGCTTTGTTTGCCTTGAGACATTAGTGCCATTTTTCTTTTTTAAAGGAAAAAGAAAACTACCAAGTTTAGGTAGGATGGGCAGAGATACCTGGTTTAAGGACTTTACGGTTAAAAAAAAATACACAACAAAAAACAGTGGCATTCAGGCTTTCAAGAGTGAGATATTTAACCAACATGTTCTAAATGCCAAGTTCAGGGGAACTAGTGCATTTCTGTAAAAGATGGGGGTACTGATAGGAAGGGAGTTGAAGACTCTTGATTACTAGGATTATTGTAAAACCACTGAATTGGGATTATTTTGAGAGCTTGTAGGCAGGATATAAAACTTAAGGAAAAATAGAAGAAAGTCAGGCACACTGATACACATGTTTTTGTTGTTGTTGGTGGTCTCCTTGCTGCTACTGCTTCCTCCTCCTCCTCCACCCTCCTTCTCTTCTTTTTAGTGCGTGGGGCTGATTTTTAATGTAGTAGGAGATATGTGCCCCCCCCCCGCACATTGACTCTTATTTTGAATTTTTCTTTTCCTTCAATAGATTCTAAAGCTCCAGTCCTTTATAACTGGTAAAAACTGGGGAAAGAATGTGAGGCAACTGAGTTGCTGCCTCTTCTTAGGGTACGATTTTCTTCCTTGATTCATTTGACAGTTAATTTAGAATAACAGTTTTTAGCATATCTAAGTAGTGGGTAAACTGAGGTGAAAGCTGAATGCATACTCACTCATGTTAAATGAAAGAGCCTCTGTTCTAACTAACAGCCCTAGGAGGGGGAAAAAAAAAAGGCCAGCAGTGGCAGGAGCAGATGTGTGGGCTAAGGAATTTGAATGTAGAAAACTCCTCTAGATTTAGAGACTTCGAGATCCTGGGTTGTTTATAGTTACATGTAAGAAGATTTGGAATAGAACTGAAGATTATATGAAATCACCAGAACCTTGAACCTTGGACTTTGTCTTTTGCCAATATGTGTGGGTGTGTTTATATTGTTTTTAAAATATAAGGAAACATACTCTTAAAGTTGTTTTGTTTGAAAAAACAGAAATGTTTATTATTTCCTTTGGATGCCACTTTAGAAGCATCTTGTCTTCTGTACATAATATTCTGATATTTCAAAGTAAAACATGGGTTGTTGAATATCAATCTACTATAATACCTCCATTACAAAAAACAGGCTTACTACCTTTGGTTTATTCTTATTAGATTGAAACTCTCAGTTTTTGTGTGTGGTGATGGGGTTGGGGTATGCAGTTTCAATAATGGTATTTATTTTTTGCTTTCTTTCTTTATTTCTCTTCCAGAAGTAAACTCAAGGAAAAAAATGCTTTAAGAATTTCATCAAGTTTTAGAGTTACATCTCCCTCTCTTTTAGTTAAGACTTAAAATTTCTAAGTACTTAAGACTTAGATTACATTATTCAAATAGATATTTGTGGTATTTTGTTTAGTTTTTATTGTTTTTTTCATGAATAATTAAGGATTTGTCCACTGTTGTACTAATTATATTTTTATGAAAATGTTAAAATTTTCTACTTCATTGTGCCCAAATATAATTGTTGTTCTCCTCCTGCCTGTCTGGGGGCTGCCTCCAAGCAGCCTAGGAAGTCAAGACTGGCAGGAGACTCAGGACTGGCAGGAGAAGAGAAGCGTGCATGGAATGGCCAGAGAGAATCTTACAGGGATCCCACACCCTGGGAACAGCTGATGGCTGGTTCAACTTTAATACCAGAGAACAAAGGCTATATACCCCTAGGGAAGTGGTTTGGGGGCTGCAAGAATAGGTGTACATAATTGGCTGAAACTAGACATTTCAAGGATGCTTGATTTGCATTACACAGCAAGCTCTTATCATAAGAGTAGAATTAACATACAGATAAGCACTGGGAGGGGAGAGCTAACCGGGAGCTGTGTCAGAGGCCATATATCAAGTGTGGCTATGGGAGTCTTGAGTCTAGAGACAGTTTCCAGATGAAGTCAGGCAGAGAGCAGGGGATACCTGCAAGGGGAGGAAGTTCTGCCTTTAGCACCAAGCTCCTAATGACTATTGCGTCCAAGCAAAAACTGCAGCTTCAACCAGCAGGGTACTTCCAACATGTAAACTTGCAATTCCTTTAAATAGTCCTAAAATAGTACAAAGAAAGTATCTTTAAGGAGAACTCCTTTACATGAATGGGTTGGTGTCTACTGAGAAAGGAAATTTCATTTTCCAGTACTGAAATTTTCGTTTAAGATAGCAAAAGCATCGTTCTTTTAACAAATGATTTGGAAATTTGGGAGCAAATTTCTGATGGAATCTAAAATAATTGAAAAGCTACATATCTTTTAGTTATTATATTTCTCGTGAGTATTTAAGGTTTTTTGGCTTTGGGTTGATAACATGTATGTATTAAATGTTTTGCCTGCATATATGTGTACTGTGTGACTTCTCTATGCTCATAGAAACAGAAGAGGATATTGGGTCCTTGGAGCTGGAGTTACAGATTGTTGTGAGCCACCATGCAGATGCTGGGAACTGAACCCAGATCCCCTGCAATATCAACCAGTGCTCTTGACCACTGAGTTATCTTTTCATCCCTGATTTCATATTTTTCATGAATATTATAAAAATCAACAATATTAGGTGGTTAATTGTTCTGTGAGTGATCTAGATCAGCAATAATGGTCAATGTTGTATCTATAGAGCAAGACCTACTGTACTTCTCAGCCCAATTAAAAAAAAACTTTTAAAATGTGTACTCATCTCTGCTCCAATACACATTAGTAGCGCGCGCTTCTCAAGGCTAGAAATAAAATCAAATGTGTTAGACTTTGAAGTGGCTTCTCTGTTGTTTTTGTTTTTTCTTTTTTTTCAAGACAGGGTTTGTTTGTGTAGCCCTGGCTATCCTAGAAACTCACTGTATACCAGGCTGGCCTTAACTCACAGGTCACCTGCCTCTGCATCTCAAGTACTGGGACCAAAGGTGTGTCCCACCACCTCCTGGCTACACTGAATTCTTGATATTAACTACGGTGAGGATTGCAGATGGGAATGCATAAGTTTTCTCTACCACTATCTTACATTTTCTTGACAATAATCCCATGATTATGTTTTTGTTTTTGTTTTTTTTTTTTTCAGAAAAAGTAATGCAGATATGGAGAAGTTAAGCAACTTCCCCAGTATCCACACAGCCACTAAGCCACAGAGGTTTAATGCAGTGAAAGCTGCTTAAATACAAACTTGTGCAACCATAAAAAAAGACATGCTGACAGTTATGCAAAGCAGCTAGTAGGCATGAAGACAAAAATATGAACATGACCTTAGATGTTAGGAGAATGAGTAAGTCCTGCAGGTTTAAAAGAATTGCCTGGGCATGCCCATATGTGGGAATAGCAAAATAGGGAGCTAGCATGGAAGAGGATGTGTCTGTAAGTGAATGTGTCTATAAGTGAATATAACTAAGTGGGTTATGTGATTTATTCACTAAAGGGTAGGAAAGTAGAGAAGTTTTGGAAAGCCAAAACTGATAGGTTTTAGATGGTGCTCTGACAATTCAGGCCTTAAATCTGTTTCTCTTGGTGAGAACCATCTGGCAAGCATTCAGGTTCCAATTGTCCCTAGAAAACGAATTCTGCGTCTTCATGTTTTATGTCTTATCACTTTCTAGATCTAACATCTGTTCTTAATTTTTTTGAGACAGAAACTCATCTCATAGCCCAGGTTAGGCTCACTCACGATCCTCCTATTGTCTTCCAAGTGCTGGGACTACTATAGGTTTGTGCCACCACATCTGGCTTTTTAGTCTTTTATCTGTTTAGAATTGTTTATGTTCACTATTGATGTGATGTCGTGTAGGACCATATGTCTCAATTTAGACTGCAATGTCTTGTAAATTTATATTTAGAAGAAAATGGTATAGTAAGCCCAGTGTCTACATAAAACTTAATAAACTGCAGTAATTTTTAACAACAACAACAAAAAACCCAGCATTGACCCTTTGTTGACATTGTTAGAATAAGGAAATATTGGTTAAATTTTAGTTGGCTAGGAGAGTTTTACCCTTAATTCTTTCTCCCAGACCCATATTGAATTCCATTTTATGTACTTTATGCATTCTGTGAGTCTTGGTGCAGAAATTTAAAGGGTATGGTATATAGGTGGTTCCTGAAGATTTCATTTAGTGGATGGCATATGCAATAATTTCTCTCTATATATTTTATAGTTTTTTTTAAGATAGGGTTTCTCTGTGTAACTTCGGGTATCCTGGAACTTGCTCAGTAGACCAGGCTGGCCTCGAACTTACAGAGCTCCATCTGATTCTGTCTTCCTGAGAGCTGGTATTAAAGGCATACCCCACCACTGCCTGTCATTATTTCTCTTATAACTACTAAAACAAAGCTAATTTTAGGGTGAATTCTATGATGGTAGGCACTCACAAATAATAAAAACAAGTGAATAAACTGAATACTCTTGATTGGCAAGTCATAACTCACTAGTCATATTATTTTCTTCATTTGTAATAAGCATGTAAAGCAGCAAGCCTCTGCTCTTTGTCATGAGGTTCTTAAGCAATTTTATTTTAGGTGACAGTTTTTTTTTTTCTTTTTGCTGTTCTGTCTTTGTATATATAAATTGAACACTGACTTGAAGCATACTCTGATGTCTACCATAGCTGCAAAGCTTTGTTGGAATGGTATTTATTTAAAGTTATTCATAAACTAATTAGAAGATCAAAATCAGAAACCACCAAATGAGTACTTTCTAGAAACCCCAAGTGTCAAATGCAAAGATTGAATGAACCTTCAATTTGGTAGCCAGTACTTGAAGCTGATT